ATTGCTCTACAGAGTCAATGAATATAGTTGTCAAGCTCAATTATAATTCCTTAATTCAAATATTGAAATAATAAAATCATTAAATATTAGTCAATAAACTAAAATTGACTAACACTTAATTATAAATTAAAGGGAATGTTTCTTTTTTAAAAATAAAAAATTTGAAAAAATTTCCTTTTAACAACTATGTACAAATTAAACACCAAATTAGAAAAAAAAATCAAAATTTTTAATCAACATGAATCCAAAAATATAACAAATAAAACAAAAGTAAAAATAACATATTTCAACGGTGAAATAGTTAAACAAAAATTATTTTAATAAAAAAATATTGTTCATAACATATTTCAACATGATAAATTTGAAGAAATATAACAAATAAAACAAAAATAAAAATTCAATTTCAAACCAATTCAATTAATAAAGATTCTTAAAGCTAAAACTTCTAAATCCAAAACGGGAACACAAATGATATCTATTTGCAGTGAAATTTTAAACAACACTTTACTATCAATCAAAGTTCATAACGGAAAAAAAAAACACAAAATAACGAATAGATTATTTATTACTAAATTCTCAAATTTATTACAAAAAAATACCAAAAATTCAAAATAAATATCAAAAAATTATAAAAAAATAAAAAACTTCACAACTAATCAACTTCAAACATTTAAACATGTTTATAATATGATATATAAAAAGGAATTAAGGTTTTCTCACATCAAATACCCACCAATCAACAGTTCAAGCACATAAAAAACGCAAAATGAACAATACAAGCCAACCACAATGTAAAACTAATAAACCCATTTAAAATACAACAGATTTTCATGGTTAAAATATTCAAGAAACCAAGAAAAATTGAAAAGAATGAAAGAAGAGGATACTCACAGAGTACAGATGATTCAAATGCGAAATGAGGGGCGTTCGAACGGCGGCAGATGGCACAAGCTAAATGGAGGAGTTTAAATGGTGGGAGAGTGCGGGGAATGGCCAGTAATGGAAGTTTTTTGGTGGTAGGACAGAGGGGGACCATGGCACACTGATGAAACGAAAGAGAAATGACGGAATACAAAGGCACCGTAGGGTTAAGTGAAAACTTTACACGGCGGTTTTCCTAAAAATCGTCATGGAAAATCAAAACTCATTCAACTTATTTACAAAAATGCCACCGTCTTTTTTTCCACATCGTTTTTCTGCTTAACTGTCATTATTTTGCGACGTTAAAAGTTTTTTTCTAGTAGTAATATAAGCATATGGACCCACCTCTCCCCATTTTTTTATTAAAAAATCCTTTTTTATTTAATAAAAAACAACTGTTGTTTTTGAACAGTGTCAAACTCGGTTGGCCCAGTTTGACTGGATCCAGGCCCCCCAGATTTTTTTATTTACCTTTTAAAAAAAAAACTACTCGGCCTGTCGACCCAGAGCACTGTGTTTCAGTTAGTGAAACACAACATCCAGGGGTGCCAAAACGACGTTGTTTTGGGCCCCTAGTCATCTTCTTCCTCCAGCCAGGTTGCCTTGACCTGACTGGAGGTCTGGCTAGTCCGTCGGTGACCTGCCACCTTCTCTCCTTTGTTTCTCCCTCATTTGACATCTGTTTGACGCATTCTTGTTGTTGTTAGAATCGTCTCTTCATGAACTACACGATCATGCCCTCTATTCACACAAAAAGATTCGATTTCAAAGACCCAAAAATTCTCTTCCATGAACGTTGAGGCCATTGATTTAGAGGCATAAGGCAACATTTTCGGATGAAAGCAAAACATTGAAAAGCCTTGTTTCTATTAGTTTTGTGAGAAAACTTTACTTATTTTCCCTTAAAAGGAAAGACTCTATGAAAAGTTCCAATCTTTCACTTGCATTCGGAAGAGGGGGGGGAAGAAATGAGCTTTTGTCAAATTTTGAGCTTCCTACTAGTAGAAACTAGAAACCAAACGCAAAAGCAACAACCAAAAGCATGAAAGAGATCAAACAGATGCATGAAAGCAAACAGAGACAATAAGAAAAAAAATATTTTCGGGCAAAAAAGAAATAGGGTTTTAAAACTCATTTAAAACAAAAAAGGATAGAGCATATGTTCAAAAAATTTCATGCATATAACACATATATGAAGAAAAAAATGGCAGCAGAAAAATAACACGTGTAAAAGAAGCACAGCCATAGGATCAGACAAGCTCTGATACCAATAAAGGAAATAATATAGATAGAGAAAGGAAACGTATCGGTTGGTTTAGACTATTAGAGTCTTGATAGAATGACACGGCAAATACATCAGAGAGAGGAGAAGAGAACACCAAAAAGCTCAACGATTAGGGTGAAGAGAATGGGTGGAGGAACGTCCTATTTATAGGACAACGATGGCCCTTATTTAAAAGAAGGTGCAATCTCTCTCATTTATTGTGAGATAATATTCCGATTTCACAATAGACAATTAATATCTGATTGATTTCTCTCCAATCAATCAAGTACTTAATGCTTGATTGAATATTCCCTAATCAATCATTAGTTGGTTTTGATTTGTGATTGATTTTCTTGATCTGAGAGATTCTCTTCTCTGAGATCAAGTAGTCCGGCCCATCAAGGGCAGACTTGGGCCCAATGTCTAACAATTCCCATAGATCCTCTAAGTTCTCTCTGAAATTTCATTAAATTGAGCAAACACAAGCCATTGCTTTTGGCCAAAATAAAAGATAAAAGGAAATTACACATGATTATGTGATGTAATAAGTGAAATGGTGACGCTTGAGTTTAGGATTAGGTCTAGTGGGAAGGGCTAGTCCCTCATAATGTAGCGAGTCAAAGTTTGAATCCCTGCCAGGAGAGATGTTCGTATTTAATGTTTGACAGTTCCTCGAATATAATTGCCACCAATAGGAGGATACCTATACTTTAGCAGAAAAGAAAAAAATATTAAAGTTGACAATATAGGTTGGACTTATCCATTATTGTAAGTTTGGGTTGACAAAATGCTAATTTGATGTTAGATTTATCTATTATTTGTGTATCAATAAAATAGATCATATATTTACACTTACAAGTTTTAGAGTTTAATTTAAAAGTAGCTTGAATTTAGTTTATAAAAAATTTGTAATTTAATTTAAAAATTTGATAAGAAATATTTAAAAAATGGTGGGCTAAGACCCCAATCCATCTTAATGGGCTCACGTAGGCAAAATGTCAGCCCATCAAGTTGCGAATTGTAAATCACCATAATTTTGATGACAAAAATCTTTCAATATCAAAAAAATTATTGTACAGTGTAGAGTTTTAAAGAAGCAATTTTATTCATTATCAAAGGTGCAGGTTAGATCTAACGGAATGAGTTAGTCTCTCGCAACGTAGTAAATCAAGATTCAGTTTTGTATAGAGAGATACCTACGTTTAGTGCCCAACAATATCTTGAGTCGAATACTTGTGCATAAAAAAAAAAAATGAATCCTTTTAATTGTGAGGATTGTAAGTATGTAATTACCAAGTTGCTTTTGTTGATTCGCTTCACACATCTCTCTCGCCTCTTGCATTCGTCGCTGTGTCTAACTCCTTGCTGGTTTGACACTGCTCGTCGGTCACATTCGAGGTATTGGATATATATCAACTCTCTGCAGCCCCACAAAATCTCTGATCCTTGACAAATTCAAGGAGTTGGACATCAGTCTGGTGCACGCATGTAAATTCTCAAGCATTTTTTGACTTTTTCCTATTTTCCTATTTTGCGGAGTAATGAAATACGGTTTTTCTCCGTATGGTAAAATTGAAATGGGAAGCACGGGAGAGAACGAAGCATGTTAGTGTTGAGTGAAGCGTGTGAGGATGAGCTTAATTTTGAAAACGGAGGAATTGTGGTTATAAAATTTTGATTAAAAAGTGAGATAAAAGTATAAAAAAATAATTAAAAGATTTTAATCTCACTTCTCTAATTTTTTAAATCAAGCTCATTAAAATTTTTCTACTCCATTTCCTTGCCAAACAGAGCAAGGGTGTGGAACTGTAGCTAATTTATTTCTCTTGAAATTGCTATCCTACATCGTATCTGACTGTTTTGGTTGCTTTTATATTATTCTCGACAATTTAAACTCGCAATATGAGATGCATTGTCCTGCATTTAAATGGCCTTAGGAAGCATTCATCACGAAGAATGCTTTGGATACTCAAGGTATAATTATTGACCTCGAAAATGTTATGAACCGTTTTGGTTGCGTTCCGATTGTGGTTGATATTGAATAAATATTTTTACTGCCATCAGGAAATAAATTGCAGTCTTTTTTTTTTTTCCTAATCATGTGGTTGATGTAACAGAACTTCAATATTATCGGACACCAGGCCATTTGAAAAAAGCCTAAGCACTGCTATGGCAGAATAGGAAAATGGTCAAAGATCCACCATTTCCATAGCAGAAAATCCAAGCCATAAAACTGAAACAATAGAACCAACCATAAAACTTATTAACTAAATCAGACAGAAAATTACAGTGAGATTATCGCCGCCATCAGGGCTCCCAGATGAGAGCACGAGAAAATCAATGAGAAAGATAGCCTTAAAAAATTATGGACTGCAATTTCTCCATGTATGTAAGAAATCTTCCTCCAAAAAGGACCATATCAAATATGCTTGACAATGAGCCTTGGGAGAATGGGAAAATCGTGAATATGGCCCTTAATCCAAGCTAATTTCAAACATAATAAATCTAGCAATCATAAAACTCCTACCGAGCAACAATTATGTATATAATCCTCCGAAAAATTCACCAATAAAATCCGGTCAATGGACAGATTCTCATGGACCCATTTTCAGACACTAATGTCAATGGGGGAACAAGTTTGAGGACATGAATTCAAACGATAAGAAAAGCTCCTTAATGGCCACCTCCATCTACACGCAGGATCTTCTTAAAAATGGACCCATCGCATCGTTTTGGATGTGGGTTTATCTCACACATCGATTAAGATTTTTGCGTTTAAATCCAGAGAGAAGAATTACCATGCATCAACCTAGGAACGAAGAGCAATATTATATCACAAAAACAAACTAAATATTATGATGCATAGCACTAACACCGTTACATCTGAGCTAGACTAACTTTGCGTATCGTATAAAAAATGTGTCAAGTTTGCTGAAACAAAAGTTTAGTAACCAAACAATAGATATCAGAAACAGTCGAACTATGACAGATTTCTTCCATTTTTCATTCTCATTTCTGGCCACTTCACTTGAAGGGAGGCACAGATGGATCTTACATGAAGGGCATACTTCAGAAAGATGTATGCTATCATCATTGAATGTGTGAAGCTATATCCAGATCCGATTACAATATCATACCTACAAAGTTATAATATTAGATCTAGTAAATTCACTTAATGACGTCATGCAAATGTGAAGTAGAAATGACAATGTGCACATATAATAAACAGACACATTCTTTGTTGCATTTCTTCTTAACAACATCAAGAAATTCAAATATGAACAATTGGGGTGTACATTGAACCCACTAGCCTCCCCTCAAAAAAGAACCCAAAAAACCCAAAAGGAAAGAACGAGAGAACGTTGTGGATATAGTAAATTAACCTATGAAAGCTGCCAACATTGCTTTGAACTTTTTTGACCGTCAGATGTATTCTTGTCAGGCCAATCAAGGAACATGTACCCATTTAGTGAGGGTGGCAAATAGTTCTGGGCCAAAGTGGGATTATCGGGAGTGTATATGTATCCCTTCGCGTAGCCAAGTTCCTCCATTAGTTTACTTGGGGCATTTCTTAGATGAAGAGGCACTCCCTCATTCTGTCCAATTGATTCCTTGACAACCTTCTGAGCAGCTTCTATTGCTCGATATACAGCAATAGATTTAGGAGCTAGGGCCAAATAAGCAACACATTGTGCAAGAATCACATTACATTCAGGCATACCCAAGAAGTGGCAGGCTTGGTAACATGAAACAGCCTGATTGAGAGCAGATGGATCAGCCAATCCAATGTCCTCACTTGCAAACCTTATCAACCTCCGTGCAATATAAAGAGGCTCTTCGCCTCCTTCCAACATTCTTGCCAACCAATAAATTGCAGCATTGGCATCACTTCCCCTCATTGATTTGTGCAGTGCGCTAATTAGATTATAATGCTCTTCCCCAGCTTTATCATAAGCAAGGTGCTTGCACTGAAGCGCCTCTTTTGCATCATCCAGAGTAACGATATTATAAGATGGACCAACTCTATTTTTTTGGCTCATTAGACCATCCATGTCTTCTGTTTCTTTGACATCCTTAGACTTCTTATCATCTTGTGACCGAGCGGCCGCTGTAACAGCAGCAATCTCCAACGCATTCAATGCCACCCGCGCATCACCATCACAATTGTTGGCTATAAAACTAATTACATCTTCAACTACATCAACTTGAAAACCAATGCTCTGCACCAATCCTTTGTCCAGATTATTCACAGCCCCCTTTAGAATCATCACAACATGGTGGGGTTTCAAGGGGTTTAGAGTAAGTACACGACACCGAGACAGCAAAGGCGTTATCAAATGGAAAGAGGGGTTTTCAGTAGTGGCCCCAACGAAGACAATACTTCCATCTTCAATGACCGGCAAAAAAGAGTCCTGTTGAGACTTGTTAAACCTGTGAACCTCATCCACAAATAGAACAGTTCTTTGCTTACACTTAACTCTCAATTTCCTAGCCTCATCAACGGCATCCCTCACATCTTTAACACCACTAGTCACAGCAGATAACGAAACAAAGCGATAAGAGGGGCATTGCTGTTTCTGAGAAGAAGTTGCTGAATTCACGATTGCTTTAGCAATAGAAGTCTTACCTGTACCAGGAGGACCCCAGAAGATAATCGAAGGGAGGCGGCCGCATTCAATTGCGGAGCGAAGGAGCGAATTAGAAGCAACCAAATGGTCCTGACCGATAACATCATCAATGGTTCTGGGACGCATTCGCTCATATAAGGGCTCGTGGGATTTGGCATTAGAAACATTATTAGCACTCTTATGACCACGAAAATGATTCAGAAAGACGGGAGAAGCGGGTTTGGTGTTAGATGGAGAAAGTTTGAGACGTTTGGATGACGGATTAACGTTTGGTGCTGATTCTTCTAAATCTAAATCTGCATCTTCTTGTTCTTCTTGTTGACAAGCTTGTGATGAGGCTGTGACTGCAGAAGAGAGTTTGGATTGAAAATTAAAAAAGCGATCGAGTTTTGGCTGAACTGGAGGAGGGTTTGAGTTAGAGACATGGTTAGAAGAAGTGGCTTTGTGGTTGAAGATCCATTCGGTGGCCTCAATGGTGGATTTGCCGCCAGTAGCAGCTAAGGCTTGGGCTGCTAACTCATCTGGGAACCCCATGCTCAGAAGCTGTTGCATCTCCATTGCCACTAGGAGCTGGTTGCATTTGCTCTGTTCGTTGCTCTGACTCAATCCATCCGAGTTTTATATCTCTTGCCATTCTGGCAGGGTTTTGATAATCCAATATTTGGGTTTAAGAGGGTGTTTGGCAAGATGAAAAAGTATTTTTGACAATCACTTTTTTGTAAAATAAGACAAATTCCTTTATATATTTACTCTGTATATCGTAAAAATACTTATAAAATCATAGTTGGGATTCCATCCAAACACCCCTTAATTCGTTGATTGGGTTGAAACAATAATTTTTTTTTTTTATAACAAAGTAAACAAAGACAAAACTAGATACTTATAGGATTCCCGTCATTCCGGGTCCACTGCCACTATCCTCCTTAACTACATAGGCCAGTTGACTTGGAAGCTCACTAAAAAAGTACAGATCTAATGTCATAGTACTCGCAAACTTGGCCAGAGCGTCAGTAGCAGTATTCTTCTCCCTGTCTCATACAAGCAAGTTGACTCTCCAGTCTTGTTTGAGCATCATTTGGGCTTCCTGCACTACGCACAGGTCTGGGTGCTCCTCCCCAACACCCTCAATCACGACGTTTACCGCCACAACACAATCTCCTTCAATTTCCAAGTTTCTGAAACCTCGGTCCCAAGCAACCTTTAAGGCCCATAGGATACTCCAAATCTCTGTTGAGAGGATCGATCCAGAGGGCATTCGATACAGGAAGCCGCATAATACCATGCTCTCATGGTTCCTCGCAAGCCCACTGCATCCACGTAGATTCTGTGTCACGTCAAGTGAACCATCTACGTTGAATTTAACCTTCCCTTCATCAGGTGGCTCCCAGCAAGGCATAGCAACTGTGTTTGAGACATGAAGAACTAGCGAACTCCATGCAAGACAAGCGCGAGATTGCACTAGAGTGTCCTGGTGGCTTGGTAAGGACCCTTGAAAGACTCTGTCGTTATGTGCAAGCCAAATGTTGTGGCAGATGATCGGGAACCACTGTCTCCACTCAAAATCCTCCAATCGACCCTTAATGGTTATATTTTTCCTGACCCACTCCTTCACGTCTTGGGTAAGGAAAAAATGTTTCCTCCACCGTTTTGGGACGCATAGGTCCCACACTTTCTTTGCATGTATACAATCCCGGATGGCGTGTAGCGTCATTGATTGATGTGCCGAACTGTTGCCTTCCGGATTGTCAAGAAAGAGAGTTGCACTAGATAAAATGCAGTATAGGATGCAACCAGTCGTTCTTCTCAAGGAGCTTGTTATTGGAAATCCTAGTCTAACTTGGTTTTCAAAAACATTGTAAAAAGAGGGGGTTTTAGTTGTTTTAAAAGTGTGCAACAAATGTAAAGTGTAGAAAGTTAACTATTTTTTTTTTGGTATTTTAAATGAATGAAGAAATGTTTTGGATTAAAAGGGAATTATGGTTAAACAGTCTCTTGATGATGAAAACTCAGCTATCACTGCTCTTTCGAATGATTAGGAGTATGGAAAACCTCTAAGTCTGTAGAAAACCCCAAGTACTCACTTGGGTCCAATGTCTTAATTAATGAAAACTCACTTTAATTAAAGGTAATTAACACCTCTTAAGACACTAGTGAAAACCACTTAGAGTGTAGATGAATGAATGATGCAAATGTCCTCTGAATGTCAATTAACAAACACAGAATACCAAGCATACAGATTAATCACAATAATCACTAAAAATCAAATTGAACACAAGAATTCAAACTGAAATATTATATAGATTAATCGACATTAATATCATTCAACCCAAATACAATAGAATAGTCTAAACACCAGATTTACAATTATAAACCAAGTTTGATACAAGTGCAGAAAGTTCCTAAATCTAGAAATATTCAACACAGCATTAAACAAAGGTTTAGACTATAAAAAGAAAATTCCCCGATTAGATCATTGAGCTCAAGCTTCGTTCTCCATCACTAAGAGGCTAAGGGGTTTAGCCTCTCATGCCTTCAACCCAATCGCAATCGCTCCAGGAATGAACAGCCATGGTTGAAGCTAAAAATGAAGTTGGAAAAATGGATAAGAAGGGTGTTAGAATGGTTTGATCGGTCCAAAATCTCAGAAAATGATGAAGAGATGAAGAAAAATGGAAGTTTTGGGTATAGGATCAATGGAGACTTGAGAGGAAATGATGGTGGCTCAACCTTGTGCAAATCTCTAGAATGGAAGAGTATCTTTTCGTGGTGGTTACCCCCTTTAGGTATAGAAGCTGAGAAACCTATTCCAAAATGCACAGCTTCACTTAACGCACTCAGGTTGTGACCTCAGGAATGTAAGGTCACGACTCAGGGGGGTCAGGTCGGGACCTGATAGGTTCCATGTCGTGACCTAGGAAAACAAAGAGCTCTCGTCTTGACTTGGGTCCAAAATGCGTAATTTCACTCAGAGGCATCCAAGTCTGAACCTAAGTAGTCCATGTCGCGACCTGAGGAAGCAGAACACTCCCAACTCTTGTGTTTTGGTCCTGGTAACATTTTGGCTCCATCCATGCTTCATCATGATTCTTGGGTCCTTCACCATTTGATTTGTAATCAAATGGATATAAATGCACACATAATGAGGTTAAAATTGTTGCAAAACATTAGAAAACACTTGAGAAAGCCATATAAAGATTGGGTTCTATCACTCCCCCACACTTGAACCTTTGTACTCCTAGACAAAGACTTGAATCATTCTAAAGAAAGTACAGCTATAATTAGAGAGACTAGCATGTTTAAAAGTGATCTCAAGAGCTAATCGATCAACCTCCTTTTAGGAACACAAGAATGATAACATGAACAATGCCAAGTAATCAGATAGAAGGTGCAATTAACTCAAAATGCATGAACAACAGAGATTTGCTCACAAGGTATAAGTGTTTGAATCGCTCATCTCTCCTCATTGGGGTTCTTTTCTCTCAACTATCCAAGTAGCAAACATTCTACCATAAGCTTGTAATGACCCTAAAATCTCCACTACTATTAAGCATCCATATAAAGAATCAAGAGGGATTTTGAGGTTATAGTGATGGAAAGGCTAAATGGAATAGAAAATGGTGAAATCGAGTGTCAAGAATTAAAGAAATATGAGTTAAATAACATCTATTTTTAGTCAAGGAAGTTTAGATCCCAACCTTCTATCACTAAGGGAATACTTTATTCAACTTCATTTTGATGTGATAGCTTATGTATATATAAGGAGTATTTCTTTACTCTTGTGTTTTTTTTTTCCAAACTGAAATAAAAGTAAAATTCCCAATTAAGACCGATGAAGATTAGGAAACCGTAATTGTTGAGACGGATTCAACTCAATTAACATCGTTGTTCAAAACACTCGAAATGGTAGATAAAATGAAGGAAGTGCGGGCTTAAAAAAAAAAAGTCAAGCAACGGATAAATGTAACATCCTGAGTTTTATCGGGTTTTAATAGCCTCTTTTGGGTTGATTTTGAGGATAGATTAGTGATTTAATCTTAATCTAGGTGTTTGGGTTGGATTTGAGGTTTGTTGGAGGAATAGGTGAACGTACCCCTCTCAGGGTATGTTTGCCGCGGCGAAGTCTTGGGGACGCCGCGGCGAAGTTTTTCTGGGCGAGCGAGAGTTTCCTCTCGGGAAGCTTTCGCCGCGGCGAAGTCAGGTTTTTAGGTGAGTAATCCCTCTCGGGATTAATTCGCCGCGGCGAAGATTGGAGTTCACCGCGGCGAAAGGTCGCGAATCTATATAGTCGCGGGAGGGTTCAACGTGCGAAAATAAGAAAAATCTGAAGGAGGAGAGAGGAGCTCTGCTAGGGTTTCGAACTTTTGGCTTGGAGGAGACATTTCTAAGGATCCATTACCTCAAGTAAGTGATTTTAACCTCTAATCTTCTTTCTTTCTTGGAATTTCTGAGGATTTTTGGTGGAACCCTAGGATTTTCTAAGTTGTGATGGAATTGAGGTTTTTGACCGATTGTTTTGAGTTTAATTGATTGTATTGGGTTAGTTTAAGTATTTAATCGGTGTAGTTTCCTTGGATTTAAAGAATCTTGAATTTTTGGAGCTAGGGTTTATGGAATTGGATGATTTGGGATTGAGGATGACAATGTAGAGGTTGATTTTGGGTTTTGTGAATTGGGTTATGTTAAGGAGGGTTAAATTGGATGTTTAATCGGTTTAGAATTGTTGTTGGAACCTTAATTGCTCAAATGGGATGTTTGGGTGTAGAATTCCATAGTGGGTCCTTGAGGTTGTGAATCTTAATTGATGTTTGGAAAGGAATTAAGGTGTTAATGGATTGGTATGACTTTGGAGTGTTGCCTTGATAGATATACCCTTTGTGTTGGGTAGAGTTTTGATGGGAGATAGGAATTTTGTGTCCCTAAGTGTTGTGTTGACCACATTATTAGTTTGAAAGCTAATATATGATGGTTGTGTGTTTGTGTGTTGTGTAGACCGGTTGTGAGTCTTGGTGGTGCACGGGGCCACATCGTTGGTTTGTTGTTCCTTGCTCAGGCGAGAGGTAACCACTTTCCAATCCTTAGTACTTGCTTCTGTGGTACTGTGAGTAGATTTGTGTTTTGTGCTTTAAGTAGTAATTATGTTCGAACTGTATGTTGTGTATAAAAACGGAAAACCGTCTTGTGGGGTTTTTAATCGATGATGAATGAAATCTTGAAATTGTGAAGGATATGCCACTGAATGAGGTTAATTGTGAAATGATTATTACCCTTTGATTATGATTTGAGCATGATGCATTAATTGGGAATTGGTGAGAGTTTTGTCTGTTACTACCACGTGGTAAGGCCTCCATTAATGCATGATGGTTGGCTTAGTACGTCCCCCATAGTGAGGGATAGGCCTTTTGGCTCCCTACGTCCCCCAGAGTGAGGGATAGGCCTTTTATGGCTCCTTACGTCCCCCATAGTGAGGGATAGGCCGGCTTCGGCTCCTAAAAATCCCCCAAAGTGAGGGATTTGGTTGATGGGATTGCATCATTGCACTTACATGAATTGTTGTGGCTATCATTTTATATTATTTGTGAACTGCCCCACTTGACACCTCACGAGCACCTATTTAGTAGTACCTAGTATTGGAAAGGTTGGTTACTTGGACTTTGTCTCACCCCGTGGTTTACAATGTTTTCAAGTGAAGGTTCCGGGCGTGGGCCATCGGGAAGAGACGCAGAGGCTTGAGCTCAGTTAGCTTTAGGCCTCTAGCATTTGTATATGTATGACTAGTATATATTGCCACATTTAGGACTGCGTTTTGATATATTTGATTACCCGGCCTTGTTGTAAACTGGAGAGAATGTATCTCCTTATTTTGGTTGGCCGGAGGCCATTGCTAGTGTTTGATAAACTCTGGATTATATGGTTGAAAACTATTTAGATGGGCTGATTTTGATGTACGTGTTACCCAGGCCGGAGGCACGGAGGCCCAGTGGATATGAATGGATTATTTTAGTTGCATGCGACGTCTTACGGGTTGACCCGAGCTTGAAAGTCAATTTCTAAAAATATGAAATTTTCCTTCTACTATGGTAGCTCGTTTTAACAGCTCTCCTTTTCTACCATAGTAGAGGTTTTATGATGGGTTAAAATGTCTTGAGGTAAAGGGTTTTTACAATAAATGGTTGTGGGTTGTGTTTGGGTAGAAAGGTGTAGAAAACAATGCTTCCTTCATATTCAAAATCATAAATGCACACGTAATTTTGATCAAGAGCTAAAACAAGTTCTAGAGAATGCAAACCACATGAATAATCACTCAATTTAGGAATCAAGGCTCAAGAATATCCTTCCAACAAGGGTTTCACATCTTAATTGCTCATACAAGAAGTTCAATCAATATGCACTAATCACAAGGCATTAAGACACCTATCACAAAAGCAACCCATGAGATGAGGATTAAAAAGATCAAGATAATCACTTAAGAACATACTTGAATCCCAAAAGTGACTATAAAGTCTTCAGAAAAAAATCATTTTCAAAATCCAATATGCTTAAAAGTCCAGGGATGGCACGGTTTTTAAGAAAAACTATTTGATGCAATGAGGGTATATGAAAAAGGCAAAGGTTTGCTTAAAAAAATACAAAGGTAGCTTAAAAAGGTTCCTCCTGCACAACAATGCCAAAAAGCAGAGAGAAGGCAATGGTAGGTAGCAAAAGGGTCCAGGTCGCAACCTTAATACAATGAGGCCGCGACCTACATACACAAAGGTACCAAGTTAGGAAAGGGGAATGAGGTCGCGACACAAAATCACAAAGGGCCCTCCCTAGCCAAAGTCACTCTTCAAGTCGCGACCTGAAGTCACAGAAACTACCAACGCAAAAAATTTGAAACTATGGCCACAGTTAACAAGTAAAAACCCTTTTAGCAAGCATCAGATGATCCAATTCACAGCAATTCACCATCTACAATCAATTCAAAGCCAAATAATGATGATGAAAGATTGGATTTTCGAAAAAAATTTTGCCAAAAATTCTGAAACAACCACAGAAATGATGCAACAAAGTGAAATGAATTCCTCCCCCACACTTAGACTTGAAGTGTCCTCACTGTCAACAAAAAAGGGAAAAAGAATTACAGCAGCCACAAAAGAACAAAGTAAACTAACCATTCATTGCAGAAAAGTTAACATACAAAGGAAATATAGCTTTTGAGTACCGGGATTACAGGACAGAGCAACAAACAAAAAAAAAAAGAAAAGAAAAACACAGAGACAAAGCAAAAGCAAAAAGCTTCCAGCAGTAAAGGTTTCAATCATCCTCCATTCTTCTTTCTTCTTCAGCCTCGACATTTTCTCCTGCTTGGACATTAGCTTCTCCCATTTCAGCATCAGTAGGAGTAGTAGCAGTAACACCAGAAGATTTCCACCCACTTTCCTTTATGGTCTACCCAGCTTCTCCTGTCCTGATGGTTTGGAAGACCTCCACCTAGAGAACTTCAGTAAGTCTGATCTTCCATCATTGTTACTCGCAGACAAGGACATTGGGCAACTTGTAGAACTTCTCAACAACCTCTCGAGTTAAGAAACATTCACTGCCTCTAAAAGTGATCCCCCTATGTCCGTTTATAGCAGAGCAAGTGTAGAATTCTCTCACTTATTCCTCTTCTTCATAGGTTCCTCAAGGCCCTTTTGTTTGGTAAGCTCATAAAAATGGTACTACTGCGTTTGTGGAAAATATCGCTCTTGAACTATCTCCTGTTGGCAAACAATTCCACAGCTTTCTTCCTAGGAAGTCTAGTCTCCTCACGAGGGCAAAGCTTCTTCTTTGAGCCTAAAGACTCAGGGTTTTTGGTGTGAGGCATCTGGGTGCAAAGCAAACAACCAATAAGCAACCAAAGTAAACACGCAAAACAAACAAACCTAGGAAAAGAAACTAAAAACTACACTAAGCCTAGAAACCAAGCACTCCCCCACATTAGGCCTACATTTACCCATTGCCGGACTCACTTAAGCAAAACAGTTGAAGATTTTGAATTGGGACAATTGCATTTTAAAACCATTAGGGAAATCATGAGAAAACCCAAGTATTCATAATTTTCAATTGCCCCAAAATTCATTTCTTGCTAACCCTTGATGTGTAAAGTCAAGATCTAACAAAAAATTGTAGTTTTGAAATAGCAGAGGTAAATCAGGGGTTTAAAACCTCCTCTGTGAACAGACAGGGAATTTCAAATTCAGAAAGGTTCGAGGTCCGACCTAAACCCAGAAAGTTCAGAAGATGCAGCACGAACTAGTTTGCTCAAAACCAAATCTTTTTCAGAAAATGCAGTCCCAAGCAATCTGAAAATCAGTTAAACAATATTCTCAACGTCTAGCAATACTCCACTTAACCAAAATCAAAGCCCTAACAAAAACAACACTATCTACCTATAAAAAGGCAGAAAACTAAACCAGAAAGAATAGAAAAATTGAAAATAAAAAGGGAAGATTAAATGGACCTTGAGAGAGTGGAAGGATAGAAGGACTAAATGCAAGATGGAGATAGGATTGTTCACGAACTGCAGGAGGTGGATTTCACAGTGGAGGCACTCAGAAGTTGCAGAAACGGAAGAATAGAGCAATTGAACGGTTAGGGAAGGAGCAAACCATTAAAAAGGGCTGAATGGTTGCGACTTTGGAGGGAATTTGAAAGGTTGCGACTGTTGAAGAATCCAAGATGGTGAGTCACGACTTCAGGAAAGCAGTAGCCGTGGGGGAAGAGTTGAACGTGGAGAGGCGAAACATGGGAAATGAACTAAAAGGAGGGATTAAGTGGTTTTATAAAAGAAGGCCTAGGGTTTTTAAGTTTGGAATGAATTGAACTTGAATTCAGGGTAGGTTTAAGGGCAAAATGGTAACTAGGGTGGAAATAAGTAGGGGTAAAGAGGTGAACTCGAAGAAAAATGCTGACTGTTCATATTAGGTCACGACTTAACCAGAGTAAGGGGCTTTTAGGGTTTCAGAAAAGGCTCCAAGTCATGACCCAAAATAACCGAAGTCACAAACTAAACTCATAGAGAGCCTTTACCTATTGTCTTCCCCAAGTCGTGACCATATATAGTTAAGTCGCGACTTGAACACATAGAGAGCTCCCAACTCAGACTAACCTCCCACGTCGTGACCTGAAAACGGTGAGGTCGCGACCTGAGTGCACAGAGAGGCTCTGACACTCTAGATCCTAAAAAACTTCAACCCTAAGTTCCTAAACTAAAATCACTTACCAAAATGCCTACCATAACAGCCCAACTCAGCAATCTATCATCAAATTCTTAACAATTCAAAACAAAACTCCAAAAACAAGTGATGGAAGATTGGGAAAAACTTTCAAAAGTTTGATTTTTTTTTTCAAAACCTTGGCAAATTTTAGCAAGAACTACCCATGACAAGGCACAACCCAACAACCAAAACACAAAACCACTTTTAAGAACTCCCTCCCCCACACACTCAAAGCAATATCCACATTACGGCATACAGTCACACCAAAGCACAAAGCCAAAACACAAAACAACAAAGGTGGAAGTTGTGAAGTTCAGTTCAACACTGAAGCACAACACGTCACCCTTCTAGAGAGAGGAAAAGAGCTAAGCGCAAAGGTAGGTAAACTCAAGAATGTGAAAAAGTGTGTGGTGGTGGCAGAATAGAAGCACAATTACAATCATATGAAACATAAAGCCAAGGGAGATTATTGAAAACAAACATAGAACAAACTGAATTTAAAACTACTTCTACTAAGGACATCCCTTCCACAGTCTCCAAAATTCACAGCAAGATAATTTATGCACAAGTAAATTCAAGTGAATAGTAGAAGTAAAGGAAAGGGACGACCTGGCCTCAAGAAGGCGGTGCGGGCTCTTCGTAGAGCTTGAGATGACCGTTGCACTGAAATATTTTGCCCGTTTGAGTTTTATCATCCCGAAGTTATGCACTTTCATCACAATGTAGGGTCCATCCCAGCTCGTCTTGAACTTGCCCTTCTTAAATTTGAATCGAGCTTGATACCTCAACACCTTGTCACCCTCCTTAAACTTCTTTCTTAAGATGTTGGCATCATGGACAAGCTTGGTTTTCTGCTTGTAGATGTCTGAGTTGTTGTAGGCGTCTAACCACATTTCTTCAAGTTCTTGAATTTGAAGGAGTCAATTTAGGCCAGCTTCCTCCAAATCGGTGTTGCAGTGCTTAACCGCCCAATATGATCGATGCTTTAGCTTTACCAGAATGTGGTAGGACTTACCACAGATGATCCGATACGGTGACATACCAATTGGGGTTTTGTGGGCAGTGCGGTAGGCCCACAGTGTATCATCTAGTTACAGGCTCCAGTCTCTGTTGGAGGGCTTGACAATCTGTTCCAAGATGCGCTTGATCTCTCGATTTGATACTTCAGCCAGACCATTTGTTTGAGGATGAGAAGGGGTGGACACTTTGTGTGAAACCCCATATTTTGCCAACAAGTTATTGAGTAACTTGTTGCAGAAGTGGGTTCCCTGATCACTAATTAGCACTTTGGGTACCCCAAATCTACTGAAGATGGTGAACTTCAGAAATTTAGAAACCATAGGTGCATCATCTTTTCGTGTGGGTATGGCTTCTACCCACCTAGAGAGATAATCTATAGCTAAGAGAATGTAGGTGTAACCGTGGGAAGGTGGAGGGGCCCATAAAATCTATCCTCAAGCATTGAAGATCTCACAAAACAAAATAGGTTGCTATGGCATTTCGTTCCTTCTACTAAGCCCCCAAAATTGTTGGCATTTATCACATGCCTTACAAAAAGTGAATGCATCTCTAAATAAGGTGGGCCAGTAAAATCTTGCATCTCAAACCTTCCTAGCTGTTTTTCTAGTACTGAAGTGCCTCCACACAAGGTATCATGGCAAGCCTCCAGAATGGCTCGACCTTTTACTTCTGGAATGCACCGTCTAATCACTTGGTCAGAATATAACCTCCATAGGTGCGGTGGATCCCAAATATAATAGGAAGCTTTGCTCTTAAGCTTTTGAGCCTGAAAGGTAGTCAAGTGAGAGGGGATTAGACCAGTAGCAATATAGTTAACTAAGTGAGCAAACCCTGGTTGAGAAGCAGACAATGCAAATAGAGATTGGTCAGGGAATGAATCACAGATAATATCATAATCGAGTACTCCCTTGGTTTCTAAAGGTAGCCTACTTAGGTAGTCTGCCACATGGTTGACACTTCCAACTCTGTCTTTCACTTCCACATCAAATTCTTGAAGCAATAACATCTACCTCAAGAGCCTCGGCTTCGATTGAGGTTTGTGGAAGAGGTATTTCGCTGCTGTATGATCTGTAAACACAACCACTTTGGAATTTATTAGATATGGTCTAAACTTATCAAGTGCAAAAACAATTGCAAACAATTCCTTCTTAGTAGTGGTATAGTTTTTTTGAGCTGCATCTAGAGTTTTAGTAGCATAAGCAATCACCTTCGAAACAGAATTCTTCCTTTGACCCAACATTGCCCCCACACTCAAGTTCGAAGCATCACAAGAAATTTCGAAAGGCAAATCCCAGTTGGGAGAGGTCAAAATAGGAGGAGTAACTAACCTATTCTTCAATTCATCAAAAGCAAGCTCACATGCATGGTCAAATTGAAAATCAACATCTTTTTACCTTAGCTTTATCTACCTCAATTCCTTTTTCAAAAATTAAATGTCCTAGCACGATACCTTGGTTAACCATCAAATGACATTTTTCACAATTCAAAACCAGCCTTTTCTCAAAGCATAGTACCAAGATTTGGTCAAGGCTTTTTAAGCAATCTTCAAAAGAATTGCTATACCCAGTAAAATCATCCATAAACACATCTATGCATTTTTCAATAAATTCAGCAAAAATGGATAGCATGTAGCGTTAGAATGTGCCAGGTGTAACATCTAGACTTTTAGGCCTAGAAGTTCCAGAAATAGCCTAAATTAAATAGGTTACCAGACCCCTGTGAGCAGAAGTCCCAAAGATGAAAAAGGAAGGTAAAGCAGTTTCAGGAACTAAACTGCAAAGTAAAAGTTTTCAGGGGCTCGAGTATAATTAAGGTTAGAGGCTCCAGTAAAGTCTCGAAGGCCCAAAAAGAGAAAAGAGACTAGATACAGGCCAAAGGTTAAGCTAGAAGCCTCAAAGAGAAGATTATATGAAGCTAAGTCCAAGAAGGGACTAAAGTGTAAATTCAGAAAGTTATGACCAACAGGGGTAAAAATGGAAGAGTACGCAGAGAATTCCAAGAAAATCCTAGAAAATGGGAAATAATATTCTAAGGCTCTTCTATGAAGAGAAAAGATGAAAACGCCCCTGAGGCAGCTTCAACGGAATTTATGAGGTTATTACCGGTAAAAAGTATACCATGTGAGGTAATTATTTGAAATAGCAAGAGACCTCAAAAGTGTATACAAAAATGAGGTTAAAGGGTTGAAAGGTTGTACTAATTTATAAAATTAGTCCCGCAACCAAAAGGCCAGTAGAGTGGCTTTAAGAAATTAAAGAGCCGGTTTTGCCGATAAAAGGGTATTTTAGTAAATGAATTTTATGCAAGGCTTAAAGGAAGTGTTATGGGCTAAGAAAATTCATAGATACTCTCTAAAATTAAAGAGAATTTATGGATCTGACAGAAAATAATTACAGAGGCCAGAGCACTGTAATTAGAGAAAAGAAGTTAAACCCAGAGTAAAAGTGCACCGATAAAGTATTAATCAGAGTCTTGCACTTTACTTGGGCCACAAGTCGCCACTTGTCAAGCCTTTAATGGATGGTAATTAAAGCTTTCCAAGTGTCAAGCTACCAATGGAGAGGATCTTGACTTTGGAATTTAATTACATTATGATTTAAGTTAATTAAGAGAGAGGATTAAGATTAAGTAGGCTAATGACACTTGGCATAACATTAATGATGGTTGGTGGGATATTTTGTACACATTAATGAGCTCATCTCTCCCCTAAATCAGATGGGAATTTCATGCAAGGCATGAAGAGAGGGAAAAAGAGAGAGTTTTGAGGGGAAACCAAGAGAAAGGCATCAACTTTGGTCATACAATCAAGGTTCAAGGTGAGTTCTTGGCTCTAGATATGTTCTTGCCTTGGTTTCTTTCTCTTTTATGGTTGAAAATATGTCTTCTCTCCCTTTTGATGGCTGGTCGAAATGGTTGATGAGTGGGGAAGGGAGTTTGGTTGTTAGATCTTGCTAGAACACCTCAAAGTATGGTAGATCCAAGTGGATCTATGTGAAAATTGGAAGAATTATGTGCTGATTTGATGGCTTTTTCGAATTAGTTACTGTTCATATATGGTTCTGAAATTTGGCATGCTTAAAGTACACTCTATGAGCTTTAAATCCATGGGTATAACACTTTATTTGGATATGTGTACGATTTATGGTGATTTTTCAAAGTTAGGGTTTGAAATCTGGAAACAGTGTTGAACTTTTGGGAGATTGTCGAGTTCCGTACAATTCTGGTACTTTTCTGAGTAGAATTGGTTCCTGAAACTATTTTTCCTTTAAATTTAACTTAATTATCTTTTAGTGAGACTTAGAAGCACTCAATTTGGAGTTTTCTAGATTTAATTATGAATTTTCAAAGTTGAGCAAAAATTCTGGAGATTCTGCGTGAACAGTACCCGCGAACCAAAATTTCCAGATTTGATATTCTTGAATCTAAAGCCATCTAAAGTGGTCCTAATTGATAGGAAATAGATCATAAGGATGTAAAATGATAAGATTTATATTAGAAAAGTTAGAAAGAAAACCCTAAGACTAAGAGAAAGGGGTTGAGGTTCAAGAAAGCTAGTCTTGAACTTTATGTAATCTAATGGTCCTAATGGATTGTGTCATCATTATGGTTATGTTTAGGACCTTTGAAACATCCAAGAGGATGTTTAGTGATGTTGACCGAATGCCCACATGGTTGGAAAGTCAAGGGAGTCAAAGGAAAAGTAAGAGGAAAGCTTGAGGTGCAAGGTAGTGAACTTACCCTTTATGTGCTTGACATGGTATGCTTTTGTTGTTTGAATGATGTTGTGACATGATGATTGTTGCTGGAAATGCTATTTTTAATATGTTCCCATGGCCATGCATTTTTATACCAAGCATAAAGCATGATGGCATGTCACTAGTTAACTTAAATTTATGAAAAACTACATACCATACACTAGCATCCATCTTGTGCATGTATGTGGTAATGTTTGCTACTGAGATTCCCCCGAATCTCACCCCCTCCCTAACCAACCATTTAGGTCAAATAAATGATGGGCACTAAGGGCATGAGAAGCAAGGAGAAGAAGTGGAGAATTATTAATGCTAATGATTGATGTTATTATTCAATGTATAATTCTCCTATGTTGTAAGTTATGTTATGAATGCCATCAATTCAATGTATGTGCTTAGGATGTTTATGGCATGAATGAAAGTATATGAGTATGAATGAGAAAGATTAAGGCCATGTTAGGTATGCCAAAGAAATAAAAAGAATTAAAATAAAGAGATATTAAGGGATAAAACGTAGGTCCTGAAGCAGTTAATTTCAAGCTTCAGTTTGACCTATCATATGAATGAGTTAAGCTACGGAATTTGGTACAATTATAATGCATATCCCAAGCTTTAAAATGAGTGGTAAATCACATCATTTGGGTGTGTATACAATGAGATATGAATTTTTGAAGTTAAGGCGTAGAATCTGGAAAGTCCAGATTTTGCCAAATGAATAGTAATTTTAATCCAATAAACTGTACGTTTTCAGTGAGGATGAGTTCAGTTGAATATTTTTCCCTTAAAGAGCATTGAAAGAGCTTTCCGTAGAATTTTGGAACACCTCCATACGATATTTCTAGAACTAGTTATGATTTTTCAAAGTTGGACCTATAATCTGAAAACTGGACAGTGAACAGTAATTTTCTGAAAATTAATGTCCAAATTGAAATTTTTAAGCTTAAGACCATCCAAAGTGGTCTGGAATGGTTCTAAATGAATGCTAAGGTATTATATAAGTAAGGTGTAACACCAGGAGCATTGTAAAGACCAAAAGACATTCTTTTGTAAGTATAGGTTCCAAAGGGACAAGTGAAGGTGGTCTTGTCTTGGTCTCTAGGGTCTATAGGAATTTGGACATATCCAGAGTATCCATCTTGGAAACAATAATGACTCTTCCCTGCTAACTGTTCAAGCATTTGATCAATAAAAGGTAAGGGAAAATGGTCTTTCCTAGTGGCATCATTTGTCACATCCAGTAATATGGCATTTAGGGAATAGAAATATTACTAAATAATTAAGGGTAAAAAATGACTAGAAGAAATAGAAGAATTTTGGTGAAAAATAATTATTATAATTTTCCAAGCCAATTATGAAAAGTTTGACTAATTAAGGAAAATTGGTCAATAATAATTATGGAAAAATATTTCCAAGTCTCAAAAAATTAAGGAAAAATAAGGACAATATTCCTTGAAAATTATATGGGATTATAAAATTAGTTTTATGACCAAATTACCCTTGGAGAAATTATAAGGGAATTTAAGGGCGATTTAAGCTAGTTTAAGGTCTTTTGTTTAGAAAATTCCAAATAAATATTTGGAAGGAGAATAAAATCCCAAGAAAATTCCTATGGTATTCCAAGGAATTATAAGAGATTATGAAATTAAAAGAAGACCTTCAAGTATCTAGAATTTTTTCCAATTTCTTTGAAAAGTGGAAAAATACTAAAGGGAAGGAAAATAGTTTTCCTTTTTATTTAATTATTGGGAAATTAAAATTGAGACAAAGAGGGTAATTTGGAAAGATAAAAATGAGGGGAATAATTTATGGACCTGACAGAAAATAATTACAGAGGCCAGAGCACTGTAATTATAGAAAAGAAATTAAACCCGGAGTAAAAGCGCACCGATAAAGTGTTAATCGGAGTCTTGCACTTTGCTTGACCTACAAGTCGCCACTTGTCAGGCCTTTAATGGGTGGTAATTAGAACTTTCCAAGTGTCAAGCTACCAATAGAGAGGATCTTGACTTTTGAAATTAATTTCAATTATCATTAAGTTAATTAAAGGGAAAATGCAAGACTAAGTAGGCACTTGACACTTGGCTCCTCATTAAATGTGGTAGATGAGATATTTTTGGTTCATTAATGAGCTCTTCCTTCCCCCTAAATCTGATTATGGTTCGGCCAAGTGAGAAAGGTGAGGGAAAAGAGAGAGCTTGAGGTGGAAACAAGGAAGAATCAATCACTTTGGATCAAGTAAGCTTGGAGTTAAGGT